AATCACTTTCTGAGGCGATTTACGCATGTTCGTCCGTCTGTCGCATTTATGATCCGATTTGGATGAAATTTGGCATAGGTCACTTATTTGGCCCAAGGACGAACCCAATTGAAATTGGGAAATATAGGTTCAGATTTAGATATAGCTCCCATATATACATTCGTCCTATTTTATGCAATGTTTCATGAAAATCGGTTCACATTTAGATAAAGCTCCCATATATAGCTTCGCCCGATTTTAGGTAAATAGTCCACTAAAGTCCCTGGAAATCTATTGACTTGCACGAATTTTGGCATAGTGTACTGAATTAAGTCTAGAATGATGTGTGAAAAGTTTTGAGAAAATCGGTTCCGATTTAGATATAGCTCCCATATATAGCTTCGCCCGATTTTAGGTAAATAGTCCACTAAAGTCCCTGGAAATCTTTTGACTTGAACGAAATTTGGCACAGCGTAATGAATAAGGTCTAGAATGATGTTTGCCAAGTTTCGTGAAAATCGGTTCAGATTTAGATATAGCTCACATATATATCTTCGTCCGATTTAAAGTTAATTGTGTACCAAAGTCCCTATATATCTTTCGATTTGCACGAAATTGGGCACAGCGTAATGAATTAGGTATAGAATGATGTGTATTGAGTTTTCTGAAAATCGGTTCAGATTTAGATATAGCTTCCATATATATTTTCGTCCGGTTTAAGTAAATGGTCCACCAAAGTCACTATATATCTTTCGTTTTGCACGAAATTGGGCACAGCGTAATGAATTAGGTCTATAATGATGTGTGTTAAGTTTCCTGAAAATCGGTTCAGATTTAGATATAGCTCCCATATATATTTTCGTCCGATTTAAGGAAAATCGTGCACCAAAGTGGCTATATATCATTCGATTTGCACGAAATTTGACACAGCGTACTGAATTGAGTCTAGAATGATGAATGGTGAGTTTCGGAAAAATCGGTTCGGATTTCGATCTAGCTCATATATATACAAATATATTCGTCCGATTTTATATAAATGGTGCACCAAATTCATAATGTTTGTCCGATTAACACGAAATTTTGCACAACGTGTCAAATTGGAACTTGAATGACGTTATTGTGTTTCGTTGAAATTGGTGCAAATGCAGGCATAGCTTCCATATGTATTTCGAACGGGTGTCTGATTTTAACAGAGCGGCGTACCGAATAGCGTATATCAATTTTGCTAAATTTGTCCTATGGTACGCAGACGACTCTAATCTGCCCGAATGAAATTAAATTTACCACAGGTTGCAGAAAGACATGAGCACGATCCTTCGAAGGAACATTGACATTGCAAGTGTAAGAATACATATGTACAATATACCCAAAGTGGTGAAGGGTATTATATAGTCGGCCCAGTCCGACTTTACTACTTTCCTTACTTTACTACTTTCATTCTAGTCCCCCGACGACAACCGCCACTTTGTTCGTACTCTCAACGTAAATAAATGTTTATATTCACTTTTGTTTATAACTTTGTTGCACATTCACACACCAACACACACATCTTCATGCAAAAATCTCATAAACGTATCCTTCCTTTATGTTGATATCCAACCAAAGCTCTGTATCATTTCATTCCAAAAAGAAATATGTGTTCTTCTTGTTGTTGCCTGCCTGCATGGCCTGCCAACCTGGTCTGATGCTGGCGTTGATAATGTTGTTGTTGCAGTTCTTTGCCAGATTTTCTTCAGTTCATTTGTCAGTTAGTCTTAATTTCGGTTGTCGCTTTTTGATGTATTTATTGTCGAGCAGAGTGATAGACATGTTTACCAACCTGACGTTACGTTAAAATGATGATGTTCAAACAGAAGGAAGGAGCCAGAAGAAGTTATTGTTTTGATGTATTTTCTTCATCAAAATCATACGTCAGACAGTCATCCATCCATCCATCTTTCTAGTATTCCTGTTTAAAAAACGCCTTATATTTGATTAGCTTCTTTTTTGCATCTGTCTGTCTCTTTGCCATCAACAAAATTTTCCGAAATTATTTTGTTTTTGTTTTCGAAACCGAAATTCTTAGTTTTCTGTTGATAAGAATTAAGAACAAGAATTGTGCGCCTAGGCATCAGGGCCAACGTGACAATTTAATCAGCATATTCTTACGTCACAGAAAATCTCTCGTGAAGATCACAAGCAGCAGCTGATAGCAAAACGGAACAGAACAAAAAAAATAGAAACGGAAAATCAAAACGTATTCCATAGTCATAAATTATAAAGTTATACTGCGTTGATAATAAACACCGTGACGCCGCCACATCTTGGCTATATGGTAGTAGCAGTAGTAGATATCGTCGGTATGGGATGCACGTTGCGAATAAAAAAGCATCTGGGCTATGCGTCACACTTAACGCTCGTTCTATGAGGTAGCCGTTACGGGCACATGTTTTCGTATGAGCGATTTTCGTTGGATTGTTTATATTTTTTATTTCATCTTCGATGATATTTGGCAACCTTGTATTGATTTTTTTCTATAAAACATATATGTACATATATATATATATATATATATATATGTATATTATCTGATAAATGTCATAATTAAATGAGCCATTTAAAATGTTTATTATCTCTGAAAATGAGTCATAAAATTATGTTGTTTTTATTAATTTGAGAATATAGGATATGGATGGAATTATGGGTCAATAAAATATGACCTAAGGCAACTCAATGCGATTTCTTTGAATAGATATATTTTTTTAAATATAATAAAAAAATTCTGATTATTTTTTTTATTTTACAAAAATTTCCAAACACCTTGAAAAAAATAATTCCTTTAATGCATATTTTCATAGACTTTGAATAAAAAAAATTAAGTTTTTATACAAAAACCATATACCCGCTACTACGTCAGCAAATGTGGGAAGTATTTAAAACCATATACCTGTAAAATCTCCAAATTTCAAATACGAATTTCCAGGATAAGTTTGTTTCAAATTTAGTGCCATTTAATACACATAGGTACAAATTTCCATTTCCTCATCATGCAATCCAATGAAAATCTTAAATGCCATTTAGTACACATTAGTAGACATTTCCAAAACCTCCTACATACCCCAATTCTACACATCCGCAGTGATCCTAAATCAAAATTTCAGGATTCGAACTCTATCGGTTCACCCACAATTCAAATTGTACAAAAGTTAGTACAAAGTAGTACAAATTTCCAAAACATCCTACATACCCCAATCCTACACACCCCACTGATCCTAAATTCAAGTTTTAGGATTCCAACTATATCGGTTCAACCACAATTGAAATTGTACTAAATTTAGTACATAGTAGTACCAATTATCAAATCTTCCTACATACCCCAACCCTACACTTCCACAGTGTTCTTAATCAAAATTTCAAGAATCCAACTCTTTCGGTTCACCCACAAATCAAATCGTACTAAATTTGGTACCAATTTCCAAACCTTCCTACACCTCCACAGTGATCATAAATCAAAATTTCAGGATTCCAGCTCTATCTCTTCACCCACAATTTAAATTGTACCAAATTTATTACACTTAGTACAAAATTCTAAAACTTCCCACATACCCCAACCCTAAACCCCACAGTGATCTCAACTGTATCGGTTGACTCACAATTCAAATTGTACCAAATTTAGTACACATTAGTACAAATTTCTAAAACTTCCTACATATCTCAATCTTACACCTGAACAGTGATCCTGACTCCACATTTCATGACTCTAGCTTTATTGGTTCACCTAAAATTCAAATCGTACCAAATTTAGTACCCATAAGTATTAATTTGTAAACTGAATCCCGACCCTAATCCTTCACCCCTATAATTATCCTCACTCCAAATTTCATTGTTCCCGCTCTATCGGTTCACCCAAATCCAAACTGTACCGATTATAGTACGATTTAGTACTTTTCGTACACACAAGTAACAAATTTCGGTTGTATCTCCAAATTAAATTTGTACCAAATATAGTACCATATAGTACGTACACATGAGTACACGCTTTCAAAACCATATCCTTAAATGGACCCTACTTCTAACCATAATTCACACTCCAAATTTCAAGTTTTTAGCGCTATCCGTTCAAATGCTACAGAATTGTACCAAATTTAGTACATTTTCGTACTTTTCTGATAATTATAGTTCGAATTTCCAAAAATCCGTTGGTACATCTATCCTACACTCCATCAACGACCACCAAACCAAATTTCAGAGCTCTTCCTCCACCGGTTCGCCAAATACAAATGGTATCACATTTAGTACGTTTTAGTACTTTTTCGTACCGTTCTAGTATGAATTTCCAAAAACCCAGCCTTATCTGCCACCTTTAGACCAAGAGTGAGCCTCACCCAAAATTTCAAGATTCTAGCTTCAGCCGTTTCGTCTGGACGTTGATGAATCGTTAAATCAGTCAATCAATCATTTTACTCTTTTATAAGTATAGATTAGTACTTTTCGTACCGTTCTAGTACGAATTTCCAAAAACCCAGCCTTATCACATTTGGACCAAGAGTGACCCTCACCCAAAATTTCAAGATTCTAGTTTAGTCTTGGCGTTGATGAATCGTTAAATCAGTCAGTCAATCACTTTACTCTTTTATTAGTATAGATATTTTAAAACCAGAGACCATACGATACCCTACACAACTACCACGGAACTCGGATGTTTATTCCGATTCCCTTCACGGTGTGTTGTGTTGCGATGTTCTATATTCGACTCGAAACACACACAAAAATTAAGTTTTCGGTCCACTTCATCCCAAAATTTTAATCTGATCATCATCGGAAATTATAGGCTTTGTCCTTGACCATAATTGGAACTTCATAGAATATTTTAAAGGGATCAGCGATATATATGTACTTAAAAAATATATATTTATTAATAATATTCACGTCAGAATGTCTTTGAAAACATATTTTCTTTTTTAGCTAGCTCACACATACAACCAAACAAATTAAACTTATATTATTCTCTATCTTTCTTTCTTGTTATTGTTTCTTTACAGCACAGCTCGCTTCCATAAGATCAATATCAGCCAGCAATCGAACCGTGGAAAATGGTCAAGAATTGCGAATTGTGTGTAAGGTGGCCGGCAGGCCGCCACCCAAGGTGACATGGTTTAAGGATCATCGATCAATAAATCGAAATCGTAAACTGTATCAGTTTATACACTACAAGTAGGTCAAACGAAACGATCATTAGTCATAACAAATGATAATTGGGGAAATGACAAAAAAAAATCAAAACAAAAAATATTCACAAATAATTGATTTTGGCATCCCTATAATCATTTTGTATTCTATTTTAATTAATCACAATCCCATTTTAATTACAATTTGTTTTTTGTCTTGTTGTTTTTCTTAGGAAGAGATCTGAACTAATAATACGTTCATTCAATACCTCTGATGCGGGTCGTTATGAGTGTCGAGCAAAAAACAAGGTTAATCGAAATATAGAACGCAGAACCATTGTCATCAAAGCGTATCCAGGTATGTTTTGAGTTACACCATTTCCATTGGTTGAATATATATTTTTTAATAATAATTTTTTGTTGTTTTATTTGTTTCTAGTCGTCCAACGCTTTGATCCAAATCCCCGAGGTGCTGGCAACGCCTGTCCCGATGATGCCTCTGAGTTTTGTTTTAATGGAGGAACCTGCAAGTTCTTCTCTGAAATCAGTTCCTATTCGTGCATGTAAGTATAGAACTAAACTTCAAACAACATGAGTTCACGTTTAACAGTCTATGAAAAAAATAATTTATGATCTTGAAAAATTGTACGATCAGTGGGATATTAATAAAAGTATTTTTAAGAACTTAGAGGTCGCGGAACTTGATAAATGTATTTATTTTTAATTCACACAAAATAGTTTTAAAGACCCGCTTGTTGGTCCTTGATAATATGTTGTTTTTTTAATATACGACTTGTATTGGTCCCTGAAATAAATTGTTTTAAATATTCACACCTATATTGGAAACATCAGACAACGGCATGAGGTTGATTGTCTTCGTGGAAGCAAAAAACCTGATAGTTAGCAGCACCAGATTCAAGCATCTCGAAATACTTGGCCTTGTCACTTGGATTTCTCCTGATCGAAGAACGAGAAATCGATCATGTTGTGATAGACGGAAGGCATTCATCCAGTGTTTTAGTCGTCCGATCGATCCGAGGAGCGAATATCAATTCGGACCACTACCTTGTAGCAGCCAAGGTATGCACCCGTCTTAATGTAGCAGCAAAGATGCGATCTAATGTAACACGGAAATTTGACATCGAAAAGCTACAAACACAACAGATAGCAGAAGCGACATCACTCTAGACTTAATTCAGAGCGCTATGCCAAATTTCGTGCAAATCGAAGGATATATAGGGACTTTGGTGCACCATTTACCTTAAATCGGACCAAAATATATATGTGAGCTATATCACTTAGATTTCTCCTGATCGAACAACGAGAAATCAAATCGACCATGTTGTGATAGACGTAAGGTATTCATCCAGTATTTTAGACGTCCGATCGATCCGAGGAGCGAATATAGGTTCGGAACATTACCTTGTGGCAGCCAAGGTACGCACCTGTCTTAATGTAGCAGCAAAGGTGCGATCTAATGTAACATGGAAATTTGACGTCGAAGAGCTGCAAACACAACAGATAGCAGAAGCCTACTCCGTTGAATTTAACCAACTGCTTGACGAAAACACTCCTTGTCCCAATAATATTATAGAAGCACAGTGGCAGAGAATTGCCTACACCCTACAAACTGCAGCAAAAGCAACACTTGGGTACCAAAGACCACCATCAAGAAATCCGTGGTACGATCAGGAGTGTCGTAATGCTACTGATGTGAAAAACACAGTGTATAGGGCAACCCTGCAAACAGTAGCAACACGTAATGTGATGGAGAATTATCGGGAGAAAAGGAGAGAGGAGAAACGTATTTTCAGAAAAAAGAAGAAAGAGCAAGAAAAATGTAAGCGTGAGCAAATCGAGATGTACAGGAGTCAGAATGAAGTCCGAAAATTCTACCAACGGGTAAAACACCAAACCGAAGGCTTTGGTGCAGGCACATCCTCCAATAGAGATAAAGAAGGAAACCTGATGACAAATACAGACAGCGTACTGAGGATCTGTGCCGTAATGCTACTGATATGAAAAACGCTAGCGTATAGGGCAACCCTGCGGACAGTAGCAACACGTAATGCGATGGAGAATTATCGGGAGAAAAGTAGAGAGAGAAGAAACGTGTTTTCAGAAAAATAAAGAAAGAACGAGAAAAATGTGAGTGTGAGCAAATCGAGATGTACAGGAGTCATAATGAAGTCCGAAAATTCTACCAACGGGTAAAACACCAAACCGACTGTAGAGATGAAGAAGGAAACCTGGTGACAGATACAGACAGCGTGCTGAGTATCTGGAAGGAGCTTTTTAAAAAACTTCTGGTATCAAATAGTAGCGGTGAAGAGGATACCACGGAACCAATAATAGATGACGGTATATAGTGTATACCACCTAGCCAAGATGAAGTCAGAATAGCAATCAATCGGCTGAAGAATAATAAAGCAGCAGGTGCCGATGGGTTACAAGCCGAACTATTCAAGACTTGTGGTCAGATGCTGGTAAGGAGCATGCACCAGCTGATTAGTACAATTTGGCTAGAAGAATGCACGCCCAATATATTGGAACCTCAGCATCCTGTGCCCCGTGCACAAAAAAGGAGACAAGACGATATGTGCCATCTATAGAGGAATAAGTCTCCTTCCCATCTAATATAAAGTGCTATCCAGCGTACTGTGTGAATGACTGAAGCCAATGACATTATTAGACCATACCAATGCGGCTTCAGACCTGGCAAATCCACCATCGACCAGATTTTCACTCTGCTACAAATCCTGGAAAAAACTCACGAAAAACACATCGACACATTCTATATATTCGTCGACTATAAAGCCACATTCGACAGTCCTATCCATTCCTGCAAAATTAATACGGCTATGCAGGATAACTTTAACTGGCACAAGATCAGCAGATAAAGTCGGAAAGGACCTCTCTGAGCACTTTAATACCGAACGAGGATTCATACAAGGTGATAGTTTGTCGTGTGACCTTTTTAACATCCTGCTGGAAAAGGTCATACGAGAGGCCAGAGTGAACAGAAATGTCACTCTGCACACCAAACAACACATGGTACTCGCCTACGCCGATGACATCGACATAATGGGTCGAACAAGCAGATGAGGCAGCTCTTGGGGTGTTTGAGCGAAAAATTCTCAGAGAGATATGCGTTGACGATCTGCGTTGGCGGTGAATATCGCCGTCGAATGAACCATGAGCTATTCTCGGCACCTCGGACCAGACGTATTGAGCTGTAGCGACTACGTTGGCTAAGTCATGTTGTGAGAATCAGGGTGCGGAGAATGATTAAAATACACTCTTTCTCAGGAATGCTCACGGCGATAATTCGAATGTTTTTCAATTTATCGCGAATGATAAAGTTGCAATAAATGAACAAGCATTTGCAATCTCTCGCGAATATTCGCATTGTACGAAAAATTCACCAACGATACAATTTCGCTTCGTCGATTTATTCGTTTTCGAGCATGTGTTGCTAAAGAACATTCTATTGAAAAACTCAAACATTAAATTTTCGCGAATGCTCGCGAGCCCTGTTAAAAACAAGCACAAAGAAAAATATCATAAAAAAGTAAACACACACAGAACAAATAAAAGTGTGAGTAGCAGAAAGTGTGTGGAATAACAAAACACATGTCCAACAACTATTGAGTTCACGAACGTTTGTTGTTATTGTTGTTGCTGTTTTGAACATTCGCGAGAATTCGGGAATGTTTGTTTTCATTCGTGAGAGAATGTCAGAAAGAATTTTAACCACCAAACGAAACGAACGATCGTTGTTGGGGTGCTCTCACTCGTTTGTTATGTGTGTGCGAACATTCTTAGGGGAATGCTCGTCTGGTAAATAATTTATCGCCATAAATTCATTCCTAAAATGAGCACAAAACGGAAATAATGTATTTTAATTCATTACCCAGCGAATTTTTGCGCACCCTGGTGAGAATGGATGAAGATGCCCCAGCCCAGAAGGCATATAAAAGCGAACCAGCTGATGGTTCACGCAGAAGGTGAAGGCCACGAATAGGATGGAAAGACCAAGTGGAAGACAACATTGCCGAATATGGTCTTTCAAATTGGGAAAAACTGCGCAAAAGACCGACGAGCCTGGAAATTTTTTTAAGCTCGGCTTATGGAACGAAAGTTCTGTCACAAGCCAGCTAAGTAAATAGGAAAAGGTCTTAGAAAAATTAATTTTAAAAATCCAAGCCTTGAAAAGGTCTTAGAAAAATGTATTTTAAAAATCCACACATTGGAAAGGACTTAGAAAATTGATTTTAAATCCACTCCCTGGAATTTTTTTTTTTAAATCCCTGAAAAAGTATTTTTTTAAATCCCTCGCCTTGAAATAGCCCTCGAAAATTTTTTTGAATATTATTTTAAAAATTCCTGAAAAAATATTTTTTTTTTAATTCCTCGCCTTGAAATAGACCTCGAAAAATGTGTTTTGAATAATATTTTAAAAATTAACACCTTGTATTATTCTTTAAAAAAATATTTGTTAAAAATCCATGTTTGCTGTGGTCCTTGGACAGAATAAATCCACGATTTTTTTTATCCTTGAAGACATTATTTTTCATACAAATACACGAAAGTAATATATATTATTAAAAATAATAAAAATTGTTTTATTTTTTGTTCCAGATGTCCTGAAGGCTTCATTGGTGAAAGATGCGATCGCAAGGAAGTCAACAATCCCAGTACGTACAGCAACGAACAAGAGTGTGGCGATAAAAAGTATTTTGGAAGTTATTATTGCTAAAGTAGGCTTTTCTATAGCATCCAATGTTTAACGATATAGAAAACTAAAAAGAAACTCGAAATTTTTTTATATATAAAAAAAACAAAAATTAAGAAAAAAACAAAATGGAAATCTCATGACCAGAACAAACATGACCTTCTATAAAAGCCAAAACAAGGAAATGGAAGAAGGACATGCTTTTGGAAAAAGAAAACAAAATTATTTCTTTCTTTTCTTTACGATTTTAATCATCCGCTCCTCAATACAATATTAACTTAAATTGTTCACTCACACACACACACACAAGTGAGTCTATGTGTGGGTGCATATGCCAAAAAGTAAAAAAAGAAAACCACAAATCAACAGCAGACAACACCAAAAACAAAACAAATTTAAATAAACCGTAAATCAAAATAGTTATTTTTTTAATTTGTTTTTCAAGAAAAATATTTTTTTTTTAGTTTAATAATATCCACCACTATATACATATATAAATATTTGTATAGTACAAAACAAAACAAACGACAAAAAGATGTAATGCAACGTAACGTAAACATAAATGACACGTAACGTAAATGAACGCAACAACAGTATGGGCCCGTTAATGGCTAACCACATGCGCACAAATTCACCACATTCCATAACATCCGTTTAGGTATTGTCTTTTGTTTCTTTCTCTGTCTCTCTCTCTCTCTTGTTCCTATCTACTTTTGCTTCACTTGTCGCACATCGCACACCAGTTGCAGTTTCAAAATTCTGGCCAAATGAAATATATAAAATTCCAAAAACAAAAAACTATGAATAGCCAATTTGATTCGGTTATAGCGAAAACAGAACATAAGGTGCTATAGAAAGGCTTTGTTTTTTTTCTTTGTTTGAAAACCTTAAACTACTCTAATTACCAACACACAGACAAAGAGACTATATATACACACACACAGATACAGATACACATATATAATTACTTTTCTCCCCCACTCCCCGCTAAGCGGCTACTAACCCAGATTTCAAAAAATGTATAATTTGTTGTTCCTTAGATTTTTCCAATATATCATCTTACATAATAGTTATTTATTATTTCCTATATACACCAATACATATCTGCTATGTATGCAGTGGTATATAAGAACAGTTTGTGTATTTTTTTCCTATATACATATATATTTTTTTGAATTAATTAGTATATACACATTTTTTGTTTTAATTTTAATGCATTACTAATTCAGCTTTAAGTTGGTATTTATTTTTTTTATATGTATGTAAAATGTAAACAAACAAAACTCGGTTATTTTGAATTACAATAATGCTGCAATAAAACCGGTTAACTTACCCACCCACCACATGAGAAATATTAACGCCATGCTTAACATAGTACAGAGGCTTCTACTCCCCCAAAAAATACTGAAAATAGAAATTAATGAAAAAAAAACACAAATAGTTGTAATGTTGATGTTAACAATAATAGACTACTACCATAACCGAGTACCAAGTACTTAATAATCGATAATTTAGAATTAACCATAAATAACACATTAGTGCATAAAATTGTAGCATAGATAAACAGAAAAAAAGCAAAACATCCAAAGTTATTTAATTTATTATTATTATTTTTATATAGATAGTCATCTCACTCACACATACATAAACACATTTCATACACACAGTATATATAGAAGATTTCTGTCCCCCTCCCCCAAAAACGATTACTCGATAGTCATTGTTTTCTTTTGTAAATGAATATGAAAATTGAATTGTATTTTTTTCTAATAACGAAATAAAAAAAAACAAATTTTTGTCAAAAAACAATTTTAAATGAAATGTTCAGTTGCTTATAAATGGGATGAAGAAAAATGAAGGGGTATAAATTCGGCTATAAGGTACCAACTGTATAAAGGAAGTTATTTAACCCGAATAATGCTGTAATTATTTTTTTTTTTTCAAATTTTGGGACGAAACTTTCAGCGCCTCTGAATTGTGGGTCACTGAATCCAAAAATTTTATTTGAATCCCTATTTCTTATCAGGATAATCGACATGATTAATTTTTGGGCTGTGACCATATATATATATATATATATATTAGCACTGCTCGGGTACAGGTTTTTTAGATGATTTATTGATCGTCTAATGAGTGTGACCATATGGTCATGCTAGCACTGTTCGGGTTAAATTGTCAAACTACGATCATGCCTAAACGGGATGAAGATAAATGGGATGAAATATAAATTCGGATATAAGGTACCAACTGTATCAAGGAAGTTATTTAACCCGAATAATGCTGTAATTATTTTTTTTTTTTTTTTTGAATTTTGGGACGAAACTTTCAGCGCCTCTAGATTGCGGGTCACTGAATCCAAAGATTTGATTTGAATCCTTTTTTCTTATCAGGATAATCGACAGGATTAATTTTTGGGCTGTGATCATATATTCACACTAGCACTGCTCGGGTACAGGTTTTTAGATGATTTATTGATCGTCTAGCACTGCTCGGGTTAAATTGTCAAACTACGATCATGCCAATAATCATTTAATACACGTCTAATAATTTCATCGAATAATAATGGATAGAAAAAAATTTACATTTTTACAGGCCAAAAAGAAAATCCGAAACTTCTGTTAACATCGATTCGAACAAATTCAAGTATTTGTGCAAACTTTTATGTTTGTAAAAAATTTAACTGTCAAATTTGGTAATTTCTACTTGAATTCGATGTGCAATGTTGCCAACCATGTGATATATTATGAGTAAAAATTTGACAGAAAAAAAACAAAGGTTTTTGTTTTGATACATCACGTTATTATTGCATCATGGTTGGATGCATGGCACAATAAATATGTAGTCCATTTAGCGCAGCTGATGTCTTGATTAACTGTCAAAGTGGGTAATTTCTACTTGAATTCGATGTGCAGTGTTGCCAACCATGTGAAATATTATATGGAAAAATTTGACAGATAGTCAAGACAAAAACAAATGTTTTTGTTTTGATACATCACTTTATTATTGCTTCCTGGTTGGATGGTTCCGGAACGAACTAGTTCAAATTAATTATTCAGCAAAAGGAACGATCGCTATACGATTGTTCATCTAGTTCTTTTTGATTAAGACGTCCATTTTTTGCTCTCATTCACCTAGTTCAATTAGATACGATCTTCTCGTTTATTAAACGAAATAGCTGTCCAATGAACCATTGAACTAAAAGGAGCTATGAAACTAAATTAATTATCAAGGTCCGTTTGAGGGGCGAACAGAAAATATCGTATTGGGCAAATGGAATGAGCTGTACTAGATCCGTACTTGCATTGATCCAATTCATTTTTGCTCTGATTCACCTAGTCCAATTTTACCCAATCTTTCATCTAAATTTTCTTGTTCACTGGCCGAATTAATAGACGACAGATAAAAGTCGAATATCGATTTTAGCTGACACAAAAAAAAGAAAAACACACACACAAAGGTTAAATGCTGCAAAATTCGATTCGAACACATTCAAACATGTCACTTGAAATCGTTGGTTTAGAAAGATCGTGGAGGGCAAATAGAAACGTTCCATTCCTTAAAAAGGCTCGAAGGACCAATTTTAAAAGAAAAGTAGCACAAAGAATTTTTCATAGTGAGTGCTCTATGGATCTGAAATGTTTTTAAGCACACCCCAATTTCGGGAATATTTTAAAGAATTATGTCTTTTTAATTTCCATAAAAAATAATTTTTTTAAAATTTTTATTCGCTGCTATTTTTGGATTATTATGGCACTGATTGAATACAAATCTCCGCAAAAGAGTTATGATAAATTTTACTACTTAAGTCATCAGAAGCTTCAGATTTGTTATACTTATTTGGAGCGCAAATCGATTGGTTCATGTCTTGTCTCTAGGAAATGTCAAATTAAAAACCCAGTTTTTTTGCAAATTCTAACTGATTCCTGGGGAAATCGAAAGGGAAAGTTCACTAGTCGATTCTAATTCATAACTCTGGCTTTAAACGAACACTTACAATGCCGAGTTCTTCGGTGATAGAGGTATGAAAAGTTACATAGGTAAAGAAATTCAAAAGATAATTTTTAAGAAGCTGCAGAGTTGCTTAAAAAAGTTGCATGTGTAAACTCCGAGTAACTAATGTTGTATTCCAACATGCCAACAAATTGTTGGGTTGAAAATGACAAGGTATCGAGTTAGGATAGCAAAAAGTTCTTTCGCCTAATGGTGCATTTTGTCCCTCGCATTTTTATTGTATTCTTATTCTTATTCCTTAAAAGGTATTGAACTTTTCTTATGTTTTCGGTATAATCGCCATGCTAGTTTTGTGCTAATCTCAAAGACTGATCATTTTACTATAAAAAAACCTTGCATATTTTTAATAATTTATCACTTTAATTAGTGATTTAAATATTAAATCGACAAACTATGAAAGAAATAATGACAGTTTTCACATATTTTCTGGGAAAAAATGGGGAAATATGATTTTTATGGGAATTGCACAAAACTTTGAAAATAAGTAGTACTTAAAATTCAGAAAGTAACTAATACAATTGACTATTGAGTAATCGAGTAAAAATCATTGATTGAATTCTCTATTTGCGTGTAAAATATGATTTGTAGTGTCGCCTGAACGCAAAAGAGACTAATTCGTACAGCTGACAAAATGAACTCCATTGACTCACTTCAGTGAATCAACCGAATTGAACTACAACATAAGTACTACGATGGTGCATACCATGATGCAATAATAAAGTGATGTATACCAACAAAAACCTTTGTTTTTGTCTCGATTATCTGTCAAAATTTTCCATATAATATTTCAAATGGTTGGCAACGCTGCGCATCGAATTCAAGTAGAAATTACCCACTTTGACAGTTAATCAAGTCATCAGCTGCGCTAAATGGACTACCTATTCATTGTGCCATGGTGCATACACAGAATAGTTCAATTCGATTGATTCACTGTAGTAGTTCTTTTTGTCAGATGTTCGAATGAGTCTTTTTATGTTCAAGTGAATTTTGTTCCCCAAATGAGTTTCACAGCAAAATTTCCACTAATGAAATTTTCAACGTACAATTGAGAACCCTTTTATGACCAATTCAGTAAAAATGCGTGTCATTTTAATAAATAACAAATTACAACTTTTATTAATTTGGTCTCATATCCGTCCAGTGCGTTCCTAGATTCACATAAAGGAACTACTGAACTAGTTCACAGCATTTTTACTCATAATCCAATAAACAGGTCGTGTCAAAAGCAATCGTTATCGACAATTTTGGATCAAACTTAACTTTCTGTTTATATTTTCACACAATTAAGTCAAAATTGAAAGCTTGAAAGCAAAATTTTGGCAGCTCGGGTGAAATCATCTGGCCTTATCGGACGATCTTATTATGGGATCATGATTTTTACAGAAAGCAGATGATGATGGGATGACAATCCTTAGTCCATCTTTTTGTATTATTGCTGACTCAGAAGGACTCATCCTTGACTTCCCTGATACCTTTTGAGGTTATGCTATAATCGTTTTTCTCTAATCGCATGTTATTATCGCTTTGCACACACTCCCATACACAACTCGAATAAATCTAACACTTTACTCACACATACATACGTACATACATATTAAAAGTAGATTTTATTTCGTCTGACTAACTAATCCATCCATGCAACTAACACTAGGCATTTTGTAATTAGTTTATAACACTACATCAAATAAAAAAAAAACATATTTATTTTATTATTTTTAAACTTAATATAAACATTTGTTGTATATAATTATTATTTTGTACTTAACATAATAAGAATAATACAAATAATAAAATTCGAGGCCAGCAAAAAAACAACATCTGCTAACACGTTTAGAAGTTTATTTTATAAAATAAACATCGACATATATATTACAAGCATACATACTTACATACACACACATTTTTCCATTTTCATTTTATTTATTTCGAAAACAAAACATCATTTCATGATTTCAATTAATTTGAAAACTAAAAAAAAATAAAAATTATCGAGTGGCTGTTTTTGGCCGTAGATCATGCAACATGTTGGATGGTTTGGTTGGTTGGTTGGATGGATGCCTATCTTGTTCTTCCCCCTCTTTGGAAATGTAGTAGTCATGTTTGGTAGTACTAATCGAATTGTTTTTTTTTCTTTTATGGATTGGTTTAGTTAAGTTGTTTTCCCACTCCCTAATTTTTCCACCGGAAAATACAATTTAGCAAACACACATACATACATAGCTACATTGAGAATTTATTTATTTTTTTTTTTGGTTTTTATGACATTTTTACTAGTTTTATAATTTAATGGCCTGTTCTCTATTCTATCAAACGCTTGATTTGAATTTGGTTTCCTTTTATTAAAAAAAAAATAAAAAATCTAAAACTTAGAAATAGAATCGTAAAACAAGAAACAGAAAAACAAACAATTAATGACATATATATTTTTTTACATGTTTGTTTCTATTCACAGATTTCATGTTGCAATCTACCGCCAAATACACACCTTTAATTATTTGAAATGACTTCTTTTTTTAATTTATTTATTTTTAATTTTTTATAATTTTAATTTTTTTGTTTGTTTTTTTATGGGGTTTTTTAATAGTCATTTGTATTTTATATATAAATAAATTTTTGTGTATATTTTGCCCATAAGTTTTTGTAGTTTGTTTTGTGAGAAAACAAAGAAAAAACTAATTTTAATAAAGCCGAAAGATAATAATACGAAATTAATTGGAAATTACGAAATTAATAAAAACAATCAAAACACGTAGAATTGTATTTTACACCAGCCACCTGTATTCCCTGATTGCAAAATTTCCGAATTCTGGGGTATGTGTTAGAATTTATTATTGAAATTAAAAAAAGACACACAGATTTCAATGAGGACGAGTGAAGCTTTAGTTTGAAAGGATTATCCAATCTAGAACAGAGTTATTGTAAATATTTGAAAATATTTTTTAAAATAAATTTAAAAAAATTCTGAAATTTTCCTATACCCTGCCTATAAAGGTATAATTTAAAAAAATCACGCCTGAAGAGGCAAATAAAAAAACATTCGCGCCTATAGAAGCACAAGATAAAGTATATTTAAAATATACGCCTCTGAAGTTCATGAAAAAAATATATTTTTTAAAAAATCCACGCTTCTTGGGTCCTTAATTTTTGTTCTTTTAAAACAATAATTTTTTGTTCGATTGAACCTCTGAGGTTCAATCAATTGATTCATTAAAGTGAGCAAATGGAATAGGTAAGTCATTGTAGTTCATTTTGTCAGCTGTACAAATTCGTTCAAGAGAATTTTGTTCCCGAAATGAGTTTTACAGCAAATTTTCCAATAAGAACGGAACGAATTAATCTGAGGTTCATATAAAAAAATATTTTTTTAAAATATCCACGCCTCTGACGTTCATGAAAAAAAAATAATATTTAACAATTCACCTCCTTGAAAACACATAAAAAATAATATTTTTACAATTCACCCCTATGAAAGTACATGAAAAAATTGCTTTTTAAATTCACGCCTATGGAAGTACATGAAAAATTAATTTAAAACCATACGATACCCTACACAACTACCACATAACTCTATCATTCTGCAGATTTTTATTCCGAGCCTGGGTAATTTTTCGTGATAGTTGCACCCTCTTACCCGATTAGAGGTCAACAGCACCTCTTCCTTATACTGACATATTTTCCGAATAATTACTAATGTTCAGTACAACCCTTCTAATTGCTTATCCAGATTCCCTTCATCGTGGGTTGTGTTGTGATGTTAGGCTTAAAATTGTAGAATCAAAAAAAAAGTTTTCGGTCGCCTTCATCCAAAAATTATTATCTGATCATCGGCGAAAATTATAGGCATTGTCCTTGACCATAACTGGAACCTCATGGAACATTTCAAAGCGATCACTGACATATTTTCCGAATATTTCCGCCCTCTAATGTGGTAATGATTTATTAAATAATATCTGAATACGTAAGCACCTGTAAAGGGGAATTCACTTAAATCTTTAAGCTAGTGTTCGCAAACTATCGATACTATCGATGGTTTTAGACTTTTTTGTGATATGAACATACTTCGCAAAAATTAAATTTGACAAAAAAAAAATGTAAGTACATAAAATTTCAAATCGTGCTAAATGGAATAAAATCGTGTAAAAAAATTAAAAATATTCAATTTTTAAACCGTGTTATATCAAAACCGTGTACAAGACAGTGTAAAAACAGACTTAGGTGTACATAAGACAATATAATTGATATCAATTTAAAGGTCAATTTAAAGGTCTATGTCCATCAGTGACAAATATATACGCCATAGAATACAAATTTTGTAATTTTTCACACAAAAGTCTGGGTCCATTTGACCCGCTAAATATTAGCCGATATTTATCAAAACAGGCATGCTTATTCTTTGGACCAATCCCCTTCTCCATGTCAAAATTCGAGATGTTTGGGCCATAATTGCGGGCTCTGAGCGACAAGAAAAACCGACAAAAATTAAGTATTTGGTACATTTTATCCCCTAAATATTAACCGATCTTTACCAAAAACAATAGGGGTCTACGTAGGGCCGAACCCTTCCTACATGCAAAATTTCGTGAAGATTGGTCTATAACTGTGGCCTGTATCGTGTTTACAAATTATCATGGACGGACGGACACACATGTCTAGAACGACTCCTCTTGGATATACTATCAACTTCTCGGGTCTATGTTCTTCAAGAGTAAATATATACGCCATAGAATACACATTTTGTAATTTTTTCACACAAAAATCAGGGTCCATTTGACCCGCTAAATATTGACCGATATTTATCAAAACAGGCATGCTTGTTCTTCTCCCCTTCTCCATGTAAAAATTTGATATGTTTAGGCCATAATTGCGACCTGTGAAGCGACCAGAAAAACCGACAAAAATAAAGTATATAGTCCATTTCATCCCCTAAATATTAACTGATCTTTATCAATAATAATAGGGGTCTTCATTGGCCAGAACCGGTCCTACATGCAAAATTTCGTGAAGATTGGTCCAAAACTGTGGCCTGTATCGTTTTTACAAATTATAATGGACGGACGGACATACATGTCTACATCGACTAAGCTAGTCGAGATATACATATAGGTGGGTATACTTTATGTGGGTCTAGGACCAATATTTCGCGGCGTTACAAACTCTTGGGGCTGCACAAAGCTATAATACCCTGACAACATAGTTGTGTAGGGTATAAAAATCCACACCTATAGATGAAATGTTGTTTTTTATGAAAATTTGTTTTTTAAAAAAATCGACTCCATAGAAGTACATTAAAATTTGTTTTTTTTAATCGATGTATCTGAAGATCGTGAAAGCATATTTTTTTTTTAAATTCACTCCTACAGGCTCTAGTTGTGGCTCAGAAAATATTACAACCATTAATTTTTAATTAAAACTTCCAACATGTTATTTAACGTTGGGCGCCACCTTCAATTATTCTGGTTTTCTAGATTGGATAGAGATTCATTAAAATTTTCTGAGAACTTTATTAAGTGAAACAATTTTCAATATTTAAATGGATGTTATATTAACGCATAAATATAACTCTATATACATATATACGTATATATTTATACATATGTATTTGTTACGGCTTTTGTGGTACTATTGTTGCGAGTTAATTGTCATTATTCTACAATAGCCAAAAAAAAAAAAAAAAAACAATAAACTTAAACACAAAAAATAGTAAAAAATTTCCCATTATTAAGAAAATCCTTAAAAGTATCCTTTAAATTAAAGGATACCAAGCATTGATTTAAAATCCATTGCCAATACTGCACGCTTCGTTGCAATCAATTCAAATCTTCGGCTAAATAAAAAAACGAAAGCAAATTATTTTTGTTAGTATTAATAAAAGTTATATAAATTAAAAAATAAATAAAAAACAATGTTAATGTTATTACTATTTTTTAATTAATTATTAACTATTAGTAATTTATAATTTATTATTATTTTTAAATTATTTTTTAAAACTATTTTTTGGTGTTTTTAATAAGAGTTATATATTTTTGGAAGTTGTAAATTGTAATGGTAACATTTTTTTATTTTTAAATTTTAATTCTAAATGTTTAGATATTTAAAATAATATATATATATATATAAAAAGGAATACTCTATATATGCACTTACAAGCAAAACAAACAACCGATTAATTTTTATTATAAATAATAAACAAACTAAAGATAATAATAATTTATAAGAAAAATTTGGTTAAGCATATATATACACATTATTCATATATATATAAAATAAATAAAATAATAAAAAATATTAAAAAACTGATATAAATAAAATATTAATTATGTATTAGACAAGAATAAAAAATGCACAATTTATACCAAAAATGTAATTATAATTTGTTAACATTTAAATTGTAAAAAAAAAACATAGAACAGCAAAAATAAACAACAACAATTTTCAAAACTACAAGAAGATATGGGGCTGGAATAATCAGGGTCCCCACAAAAAAAATAAAAATAAATTGACTTATTTACATTGCAAAAAAACAAGTTGAGCTCTTCTGAGTATTAAGCCTAGATCGTTGCAGCCCAACTTATAAATATTTATTAAAAATAATGAAAAAAATAATGAAAGAAAAAAAAATTAAATTCATTATTTTTTTAAAGATTTTTTTTTAATTTCTATTTGTTAATATTTGTATGTATTGTAATTTTTTAAATGTCTTTATTATTATGTATTTCATTTTTCAAACTAAAACACACACCACTCTCCACTGAGTTCATACTCTTCCTATAACACACACATACATACATACACATAATAATTATTATTATTTTTTAATTTAGCTCTTAAGTAAATGTAAATTATTTTTTTTGCTAATAATTTAATTTTGTAACGATATATTTTTTTATATACATAAAAACAACAACAAATACAACACGAAAATAATTCACATGAAAATTAAGTGAATCATGTCATATTTATTATTACAATTACACACACACACACAAACACACCCATATAAATAAAATTAAAAAAGAAAAACCAAGAAGAAAAATAAAAATAAACTTTAAACAAAAACAATTAAAAGAAATAAAAAGAAAACATAAATTGTGTTTTACAAAATAATTTATATGAAAATAAAAAAAATTAAATATACCGAAAAATATATTAAAAAAAAAACAATACCAGAAGGATGCAGATATCAATTTGTGTCACACATTAAAATTTTCCGCGAAACTCAGCTGTTTTATTGGGTTAATTGTTGCGAGGCAATTTCCATGGTATGACAAATATTTTTTGTCGCCAGTCTGGCGAAATAAATTTATAGCCATAAACGACAAATTGTCATTAAGTATTAAAAATGGAAAGGGTAAAATATTAAGTATATGATTTGGGTTATTATATCATAATTGTTTTTTTTTCACATAACTTGGAACAAAATATGGTAAGTATGAAAGTATATGAACACATATTTTTTAGCAGGAAATAAACATATACTCATGAAAGTACATGAAAAAGTTTGAAAATGACTCAGGAGTTGTTTTATAAATTAAATTATAATTGGCAACACTACTGACTAGGAGCCAATGTTGCAATTTTAATATATTGAAATTGACAATACTGTTGCCTTACCATATTACCATGATGCAATAATAATAAGTATCACAACAAAAACCTTTGTTTTTGTCTCGACCATCTGTCAAATTTTTCCTTTTAATATTTCACATAGTTGGCAACATTGCACATCGAATCCAAGTAGAAATTACACACTTTGACAGTTAATCGAGACATCAGCTGCGCTTAATGGACTACCTATTTATTGTGACATGCATATTACCATATCAACGAAATGCAACTCTCCACAAGGACTGTTAATTTAGATGTACTCAACACTTTGATTAATATTATGGTTACAAAATTTCAAATTTCAATTTTATTCATCCATTTATCAGTTACATTTTATACATATAATTATAGTTACAATTTAAGAGATCTATCAAAAAGATATTACATCTAATAATTACTGTACAAAAATTATATTTTATGATATATTATATATAAAGATTATTGAAGGAAAATTTGGGTTAAAACCTTCATTTAAGTTCGGATAAAAGAAATTTCAAACATTTTGGAAAATATATGCGCATAGTAGAATATTAAAATAATAGTCTTAAATACATCATATTTTTCCATTTGGTAATTTTGCATGTACATTTAAAATTTTGTTAATTCTATGTCAACTCAAATTATTACATAATTAGAAGCTAAAAGTTTTTTCAAAAACGTGATTGTTAATTCATATAATTTCGTAAGTAGAATTTTGTAAAATAGATTATATTAATTCTATCAATTTTCTAACAAGTGGATAAGAGGAATGTTCGATTTTAGTAAAAAGTTTAGATTTATCCTACTAATACAGTCGATGAACCTCTCGTATCCGGTTTCGGCGTGTAAGCTCGAGTTGAATGTCTCCAATGCTTGTTAAATATCGTTTTCAGACATTTATTTTGCAATATTTGCAATTTATTTAAATGGCATTTAGCAGCTTTGTACCAGACTGGAGATCCATAAGATAAAATGGGTCGTATCACAGATTTATACAATAAGTTTTTATTCGGCAGATTTAATTTGGATCGCCTACCTATAATTGGTATTAGTGATTTTAATGTTGTTATAGCCTTGTCGCATGCATATTCAATATGGTGCCGGAAAGTTAACTTATTATCCAGGATAACTCCGAGATACTTAATTTTGTGCTGTATCTGTACGCTGCTATCAGGAGAGTGGCCTTGATGGATGTCTTTTCGGCGATTTGTTATAAGGAAAAAATAATGGATTGAGTCTTCCCTTCGTTAATTTTAATTTTCCATTTTTGAAAATATTTGTGACATGTTTGCATACTTCTCTCCATTTTCTTTAATAGGGCACTTGTTAGCTTGCTGGACTAGATGAGTGCAGTATCATCAGCAAAATATGCTGCATCGAAATTTTTTGGCGGTTTAGCCAGCCGTATACAATGAGTAGAGTAGTGGGGAAAGAATAGATCCTTGGTATAATCCTGCGGGTATTGATTTCAGTGATGAAAATTCCTTCCCTGAAACGACGACAAATGTTCCGTTGTGGAGGAAATCTGCGATAATTTTGAGAAGATATTTTGGTAGATTCTTGGATATGAGTTTGTGGATTAACCCTACATGCCATACACTGTCAAAAGCTTTTTCGATGTCAAAAAGGATGATACCAGTTGCAGTTCGACATATCTGGTGAATAGTGATATGTTCCCTCCGGAAACCAAATTGCTCTTTTGCTATTAAACTATGTTCGGTAACATATTCATTGATTCGTGAGAATATCAGTTTTTCAAAAACTTTTCCCAGATTACTCAATAGACTTATGGGCCTGTAGCTCTTAGGGTCGTTTCTTATGGTTACAGCAACGTATAAAATTCCCGAAAAACAGTCTCAAAATTAAAAATATTTTCTAAATACAGAATACCAGCTTTATTGCACATTTTATTTCGTTACAATGCGACAATTTTTAATGAAGTTACAACAATTTTAAACTTGGTCAAGCAACCCCCAGAATTGCTGCATAAATTCAATTAGAATTGGTAACACTGTCGCTCACATAATTGTGTAGCCAACTATGTAAACATAATTGCACTCAGAGAACCGTTAATTTGAACACCATCTGCTCTAATACAAAACATGTGAGAGTTTTGATTTTTGTCTGTGTCAAATGTTGCGATTTATAGTGGAGAGTAGCATCTTGTAAAGGAGAGAGAGAAAGAAAGTAAACTTCAACGTATCATTACAGTATGAATAACGACTCTCTAATAATATAACGCCAGCCCAGTCCATCATATTTGTTAACACTGTCGCTCATATAATAGTGTTGCCAACTGCAAATATTGCCACCACACAAGCTGTTATTTTGAAGAGCACAAGCTATACAAAAGCTCACGACTATGAAACGACAAGTTAACATAACGGCCAAATGTTGTCTTATTTATGTATTTGTTTGTGTGCCCCGTTTGGACAAGTGAGTGATGATGACAGTTAACATATGGTTGTGTCTCTATACATGTGCAGACATGAAATGCTCCAAACAATATTGCATTCAACAACGTCTGTTAGATGAAATAAAGCCAAGAGCTAAACCTGAGAGAGGGAGAGAAAGACAGATGTTGAGTATAATAATGGAGAGTGGCATATGGTATGTCTGCGTGTGTGTGACTGAGAGTTAAAATAAATGCATTATTACGGTAATAATAAAAATACAAAAATATAATTATAACAAAGTGCGTGCCAGGCAACATAGAATTGGAACTGTGCTGTTGGATTTCTTCCTCTTTCTCACTGAGTGTTTTGTATAAAATCAAATCAGCGTAACCATTTCGTTACGAATGAATGCAAAAGTCGCGAGTTGGTTGGAAATAGTTTTGATTGTGTATATTTTTTTTGTTAATTAGGAAATTATAATAAAAGTGACCTCTGTCCTCCCTTCTGCACTGCCAACAATGTTGCTGTTGCCGCTCTTCTACCGGGCCATGCAAAATGACTTCCTTTTCCGTTATTTTGTACGTTTTTCTTATGGGGGCCAAAACGAGAGTTTGTGCTTGAAATGTGAGCATTCGAGAGCACATTTGTGTGTGTTTTGGGAGAGTAACAGAGAAAGTGTTGTGTTCGTTTTTTTCTCGTATGGAACCTGCACAAATGTTTCAGTGACAATTTTGTTTTTTTTTTCAATTTTTTTGTTTGTTTGTTGGCCATGTTGAAAGCATTGGTGGTTGATTTCATATGGAAATCTAAACGGAATCGAATGGCTTTCGATTTGAAGGCAAAACAGTTGAAAGCTAAACTCTCTCTTAAATACACGGCATATTGCTAATGCTAACGGAAGAATAATTTTTTGTTGGTTTGTGGGAATATTTCATAAACAATTTTTAAGCATATATGTAAAAACGAAAAAATTAATAAATAATTAGTAAGAAAAGAAGGAAAAGAAAAACAAAATAACAAGAAAAAATTATAAACCCTGCGCTTAATAAATATAAACCCCTGCCGTTAAAAAAATTGTTATTCATATGGCTTTAGGGGTTCATTGCTCGTGCTTTGCTTTGTGTGATTTTCAAAGGCTATTTGAAAAGATTTGAAAATATGTAGAGATTCATGTGATTAAATTTTGCATTACGGTCACTTTCATTCCGGTATATTTCACCAATTTCTGTATCCTTAACGCAACGGAAAAAAATACCCCACTTCATGTCTTCCTTATCCCCCTCCTAACAATTCGTGTAATGTACAAGTGTGTGTTTCGGTTCTGATTAGAGTTTGAAAATTGAAAAACAAATTACAATTATATAATCAAATTAATTAAATCCGAATGCAAACAAAGGAGAAAAAAGGAAAAGTGTTTAGCCTAGTTTCCATAAAATTACAAAAATAAAAAAACACACATAAAGGACGGACCAAATGATTTCCTTTGGTCACATAACATCATAAATCAATAGCTATGCAAATACAGGATCAAAGGATACACGGCAAATCTCGTTTGCACATTCGCCACACACAGACACATATGTTATGTATGTATATTAAAATGTACATACCGCACACGGCGAAACAGGAATAATCCGGAAATCAACAGTGTTGTATGCCATCAAAACGAAAGCAACACACTCACTCAGCGGTGAAGCGGCGCGAGGCGACGTGAGACAAGCCAGGAACGACAACAACAACAACACTCAACAAAATCAAAACAATCGGTTAAGCTAAGCAACATCTTCGGCACCCTTAACTACTACTCCAGAAAAAGAAAAGAGGCAACCAAACACTCGACTAACCGACCGACCGACGAAACGACCATGGCCACTGCCAATGCTATGAGCAGTAGTTGTCAGAGCATAGCTGCTGTTACAAATATGTCGACAAGCGTTGGTGGTGGTTGTTTACGTTCCACCGGTGGCAATGGTGGCAATACTCAGTATGTCATGGGTACCGGCAGTTTGGGTCGACTCAAGCTAAAAACATTGGGCGCCAGTGATGAGGAATTAGATTTTGCCCAGGTAAGTTAGTGGAATCTAGTGGCCAATATGGCTAATTATGCATTTCTGTCCCCACCAAATACCATAGCCCTTCCGTGCATAACATTCATCCCTAATGGACAACCCTTTACCATTTAGTGGCAATATTTTGTTCTTGTTCACCCTTTTGTCCATCATTTATTAGAGGTGTTTGACATTGTGTTATGGCTGACTGCAAATTTTCTATTATTTTTTTCTATTTTGTTGTTCGGACTCTCCCACATGTTATTAATGGGAGTTTCATCATTTGCCACCCCGTTTAATATTGTGGTATTTTTCTGTTTTCCTCAATGACCAACCAACCAACCATCCATCCGATGATATTTAATCCAATTATAAGTTCAGTGGACACAGATACCTTCGTACATATGTTTGCGGATAATCTATGACATAAAAATTTGTTATGAAAAAAAAAAAATAACAATACAATGCGAAGAGATAAGAGTATTAACCAGGTGGAGGGGGGAATTACCGATTAATTAATAAATAAATTAATAAAACCAAATAATTGGATGAGGGAATGGCATGAGATCACAAATTATGGGATTAAATGTGAAATATTGAAGAGAAAGGATTTCCAGAAGAACAGAACTTTAGACCTTTTGGAAGACTTTCCGTGGCTAAAAGCGTAAATTAAAACCAGTGAGCGGAGCAGTATAGTCGGACGGGGCCGACCATATGATACCCTACACAACTTCCACGAAAATTTGTGGTTCTATATTCAGGTTTTGGGCAATATTTGCACTCTCTTGACCTTCACCGTGGGTTGTGTTGTTATGTTCGGCTTTCAATTGTGGCCTATATATCGACACGAAAAAACACACAAAATTAAGTTTTCGGTCCACTTTATCCCAATAGTATTATCTGATCATCACCGAAACTTATAGTCGTTGTCCATGACCATACCTGGATCCTCATGGAAAATTTCAAACCGATCAGCGCTATATTTTCGCCATCTAGGGTGGTAATGGGTTACGAAATAATATTTGAATACGTAATACATACGACAATATTATTGGTATCAATTTGAAGGCCAACCATTCCTCTTGGATATATTGTCAACTTCTCGGGTCTATATTATTCAGGGGTAAATATATACGCTATAGGCATGCTTATTCTTTGGCCCAATCCCCTTCTCTATGTAAAAATTCGCGATGTTTCAGCCATAATTGCGACCTCTGGAGCGACCAGAATATTAGACAAAAATAAAGTTTTTGGTCCACTTCACCCCCTAAATATTAACCGATCTTTATCACAACCAATAGGGGTCTTCATTGGGCCGAACCCTTCCTACATGCAAAATTTCGTCAAGATTGGTCCATAACTGTGGGCTGTATCGTGTTTACATATTAAAATGGACAGACGGACGGACACACATGTCTAGATCGACTCAGCTTGTCGAGATATGACGATCGGTATGCTTTAAGGTGGGTCTAGGACCAATATTTCGCGTCGTGACAATCTCTTGAGGCTGCACAAAGCTATAATACCCTGACAACATAGTTGTGTAGGGTATAAAAAGAACAATCCGAAGTAAAAGTTTTGATTTGTAATTAATATTTTCCAAAGAACTAAGCGAGCCATTATTCTGGATAATGAATATTTTGTTAAGAACTATCCGAGCCAAAAGCTGAATTTTTCAGAATTTTTTAAAGAGACTATCCGAGCCAAAAACTGGATTTCCAAAGAAACAGGTCTTCGATAAGAAGACATAAAGGTTTCTATAAAAACAGACCGTCAAGTCTTAGATAAGAAGAGCTCCAGTTCTTCGATAAGAGGATATTCAGATCTTCCATAAGATTACTTGGAGGTATTCTGATCGAAGATCTGGTGGTCTTCTTATCGAAGGCCTGGAGCCCTAAGACCTGGAGGTATTCCTATAGAAGACCTTGAAGTATTCCTATGGAATAGCTGGAGAACAATCAATGTCATAATCGATATATTTTAAATAATTTCTTCTTAATAGCTAACTGAGCCTTTAGCTCATAACATATTTTCTGAAGGTCTATTCGAGTCATAAACGTGAATTTTTATACCCTACACAACTATGTTGTCAGGGTATTATAGCTTTGTGCAGCCCCAAAAGTTTGTAACGCCGCGAAATATTGGTCCTAGACCCACCTTTAAGTATACCGATCGTCATATCTCGACTAGCTGAGTCGATCTAGACATGTGTGTCCGTCCGTCCGTCTGTCCGTCTGTCCATTATAATTTGTAAACACGATACAGGCCACAGTTATGGAGCAATCTTCACGAAATTTTGCATGTAGGATGGGTTCTGGCCAATGAAGACCCCTATTGTTTTTGGGAAAGATCGGTTAATATTTAGGGGATGAAATGAATATACATCCGAACTCTCTGAAATTCAAATAACCAACTTCGGATTTGAGCTCAACACATGAGGATACCACAAAATGGTAGAGTTGGATAATTTAATTCCTGAAACAAAAAGAACTAGGCCATTCATTTAGTTCCTTTTAGTACAATTGTTCATTGGTCCACGCCAATTCATTCGGTCAATGAACCAGACGATCGTGAGCGGTCAAAAGAATATACATGAACTAAGGAGCCAATCATTCCTGGTTCTTTTGTACTGGTTCGCTCTGGAACGACGCAACTCCACACAGTAAAATGGACAAAATATAGTGTCACCCAGAAAAGAGTGGCAAAATACATAAGCAAGGACAGCAACCATTGTAAAATTTAAAGATGGGTTTTTTTCTAGGCAACAATAGATGGCAGACCCATCACCTAAGACAGGATGCATCTACTTTGCTAGAAATTAAGGAAATTAACAAAAGGACTAAGGTGTGGATGCTGTTTGCTCTCAAGAGGAGTGAGGGTATAAATGATTAAAACTCTGAAAATCATTACTTTTATGGACAAGTGTATAAGATTAGCCACATATGTGAGTATATGTTTAACGTGTGTTAACATATCCTGTCATCAATAAAAATGGCCTATAATCTAATGGTATTTAACATATAATTATTGTAATCCATAAACAAAAAAACTTTCTTTGACGAACACAATAAAGACCAGAAATATAAAAACAAATACCACCACATTTGTTCCACCCTGAAATAGTCAAATATTAGTTAAACCAACAAATGTCAAAATGCCAAATGTCCATTTCAATATTAATACATTTCAACAAAAAAATATATTTATGAATGTAATATCCGATACGAAAATATCAAATTCTTATCCATTTCACGCAACAAACACATCCAATCACTTAATTATTTGTAGACACGGCAGGTGACTGTGTTTGTTTTTGCACATCCAACTACTACCTAGATATACCAAAAACCACAACAACAAAAACAACCTTTTATCGTGTTGACCTCTTAGATATTCGCATTGTTATTTAGTTGAATTTTGGGGCGAGGGGGAAGAGGCAACCTGTATACAATTGAGGTGCTGCAGACACAACAATAGCACATTGTCATGGACAAATACAACAAAATATACATATGTACATGTAGGAACAGTGCATGTGCAAATAAATATATCACATACAATGTTCTGAATGCAATGGCTTGCTGTTTTCTATGACAAAATTAATTTGCAATTAAATAAAGAGACTGATAGTCCCTCCATAGTCCCTTTAAAAAACTGCTCCTGTTAGCTCTTTTTTAACTATTCTTAAAGAAACCTGCTTTTGTTAGCTCTTGAAAGCTATTCTTAAAGAAACCTGCTCCTATTAGGGTTCTTGAAAAAACTCATTTAGCATTGCATTCTTAAAGGTCCTCTCGAAAAAATATATTCTTCAAAGAAACATCTACTAATCCACGCCTCTCATAGACCTTGAAAAATGTTCTTCAAAGAAACATCTACTAATCCACGCCTCTCATAGACCTTGAAAAATGTTCTTCAAAAAATCCACGCCTCTTACTTACTTAGCTGGCTTGTTACAGAACGGTTGTTCTATAAGCCAAGCTTAAAGAAGATTTCCAAGCGCGTCGGTCATGTGCGCATCACCTCCAATGTCCAAGACCACGTTCCAAGATGTTGTTTTCTATTTGGTCTTTCCATCTAATTCGTGGCCTTCATCTTACGGGGACCATCAGTAGGCTCGCTTTTATATGCCTTTTGAGCTGGGGCATTCTCATTCATTCGCACAACATGGCCTAGCCATGTCGCTAGTCGCTGCAGCTCAATACGACTGACTATGTCGATGTCCGCGTATAAATTGTAAAACTCGTGGTTCATTCGACGCAGATCGGCCCGTAGATCTTCCGGAAAAAATTTCCTTCAAACACCCTAAAAGCTGCCTCATCTGCTTGCGCAAGTACCCATGCTTCAGATCCATATAACAGCACGGGTAGGATCAGCGTCGTGTAAAGTGTGAGTTTGGTCTGGCGGCAGGAGGTGGCCTTGTTTCTAAACTGCTTACTTAGACCATAGTAGCATCTGTTGGCCATCACAATCCTTCTACGAATTTCAAAACTGATGTCATTTGTTTTATATATGGCGGTACCAAGGTATATAAAACCCTTAACTACCTCGAAGCTGTTCTTCTCAAGTTCCACAGTTGGTCCGAGTCTACTGGAGGTCTTGCGCGTTGATACCATCAGCTTGATCTTCTCGCCGTTTACTGCCAGACCCACTTTGGTAGACTCCTTCTCAATGTGTTCAAAGGTGGCTGTTACCGCTCTCAATGTTTGATCGATTATATCGATGTTATCGGCGTAGGCGTGTAACATGTGTTGTTTGGTGTACAGGGTGACATTTCTGTTCACCTTGGCGTCTCGTATGACCTTTTCCAGCAGGATGTTAAAAATATCACACGACAATCTGTCACCTTGTCTGAATCCTCGTTCGGTATTGAGGGTTTCCGATAGGTCCTTTCCGACTTTAACTGCTGACCTTGTGCCAGGAATGCCGAACGTAGACATGGCTTTAAACACCTCTGAATGGATAGGGCTGTCGAATGCGGCATTATAGTCGACGAATAGGTGGTATGTGACGATGTGGTTTTCGTGGGTCATTTCCAGGATTTGGCGCAGAGTGAAAATCTGATCAATGGTAGATTTGCCAGGTCTGAAGCCGCATTGGTTGATATGGTCCAATAATGTCATTGACCATTGGCTTCAATCGTTCACACAGCACACTGGATAGCACTTTATATGCGATGGGAAGGAGACTTATTCCTCTATAGTTGGCACATATCGTCTTGTCTCCTTTTTTGTGCACGGGACACAGGATGCAGAGGTTCCAAGCATTGGGCACGCATTCCTCTAGCCAAATTGTACTAATCAGCTGGTGCATGCTCCTGACCATCATCTGACCACAAACTTGATGCGGGTTACCAGTTCGGCTGGTAACCCGTCGGCTTCTGCTGCTTTATTGTTCTTGAGCCGATTAATTGCTTTTATGACCTATCTTGGCTAGGTGGTATACACTCTATAGCATCACCTCCTATTGCTTCACCAGAAGCTTTTCAAAATGCTCCTTCCAGATACTAAACAAGCTGTCTGTATCTGTAACCAGGTTTCCTTCTTCATGTCTACAGCACCAAAGCCTTCGATTTGGTGTTTTACTCCTTGGTAAAATTTCCGCACTTCATTCTGACTCCTGTACATCTCGATTTGCTCACGCTCACGTTTTTCTTGTTCTTTCTTCTTTTTTCGGAAACACGTTTCTCCTCTCTCCTTTTCTCCGGATAATTTTCCATCACATTACGTGTTGCTACTGCCTGTAGGATTGCCCTATACGCTGCGTTTGTGCTTCTATATTTTTATCGGGACAAGAAGTGCTTTCTTCAAGCAGGTGGGCAAGTTGAGCGGAGTAGGCCTCGGCTACCTGTTGTGTTTGCAGCTTTTCGACGTCGTATTTCCTCATGCCTTTGTCGAATGTTCCTTAATGAAGGCTGAATTTTCCGACGGTGGGGCCAAAGATATTTTCCCTTCTGATTTTTGCATTAAAAACTCCTAGCGGAATTTGAATGTCATGGCCAGGGCATCGGTCACATGCTGTTCCTAGGCGCTCGTAAAAAATGTCTTTGGTCTGTTCATCTTTGTCTTCCGTCGGAGCATGGGCGCAGATAAGACTGATTTAGAAGAACTTCGCTTTTATGCGGATTATAGCAATTCGCTCATCTACTGGAGTGAATATGGAGACGAGGTATTTTATTCTCCTGTTAACCATAAATCCGCAGCAAAATTCATGTCTCGTTTCATGGCAGCTATAATACAGGGCGCAATCGTCTGATGTACTTACGCCTGTCCCTTCCCATCGCATTTCCTGTAAGGCAATAATATCGGCTTTGTACTTCTTGAGTATATCCGCCAAAGCCTGTTCTGTACAACGTGTGCCCATTCCAAGTGGTCCTTTATACGTTTGCAACGTGTGCCCATTCCTCGTGGTCCTTTATACGTTTGCGGGGGTCGTCAACATTAGATGGGTTTGGTTTTCTTTTTCTTTGCTTTTTCATAGTAGGTTGGGTTTTTCGAGAGTGAGCAACTAACCCGACGCCTCAACCCATTTTATATAGTTCTTATGGGTGAACTTGCGGCACATATTAGCTCACTATTTCATAGAGTGATGAAAATAGCTCGCCAGGTGGCACCGCCGGGAGGTCAGTGTCCACAATTGAGATGAAAGAGGGACCAAGATAAGCCTGGGCTTCGTCATGTTAAAGCCAATCAGAGCCGTTGCTTGGTATCTATCATCCCCTACGCCACTTATGAAACTTGAAAAAATATTCTTTAATAAATCCACCCCTCTTATGAACCTTGAAAAAATATGCTTTAAAAAATCCACGCCTCTTATGGACCTTGAACAAATATTCCTAAAAAAATCCACGTCTTTTATTAACCTTGAAAAAATATTCCTTGGAAAATGTTCTTTACAAAATCACGCCTATTATGAACCTTAAAAATATTATTTAAAAAATCCACCCCATGTGTGGATCCTTGAAAAAATATTATTTAAAAAATTCGAGCCTTGTATTGCTCTTTGAAAAGAAATATATTTTAAGAAATCCACGTCTCTTATGGACCCAGAAAAAAATATTCTTTAAAAAATCATCTTCAATGGTAGTCCTGCACACTTATTATTCTGTTTTAAATATTAACTTTCCAATTGAATTTTGCCTCGGAAACATCTACCCCCACAATGAATTTCGAATGAGCTCAGCTAAGTGTCCATTCAGGTTACATCTTCGATAATAGAAGTTCAAATATTCCCTCAGGGCCTTTTCTGTCTTGTCCCAAAAAAAAAAAAAAAAAAAAAAACTCCAACTCATTGACAAGACTTGAAAAACACTTCAATAAAGAAGAAACATAAGCTGCTGGTTTTTAGTGTTAGGCAGTAGTAAGTCCTACTTCTTGTTCAAATGTCCTGCCACAATTAGCAATTGCATAGCCTGGGGGCTATTTGCAATGACGATACTTTTTTGTGTCTCCTCTTCTCCACTGTATTTCTGAAAAGCAGATTGTAATGAGTTTCTAAAGCAACACAGAAAAAATGACAACGACAGACTGACGCACAAGATGACTGGCGTTTGCCTGACGAAGGATGTTGGCACATAGAAGTTGATTGCTGTGTGGTGTTGATGGCAAGCCAGTAGCCTTTATGTTTCGTCCTTTTGTTCTAAAGATTTCCCAATGAATGGAAATGAGAAAATTGAAAAAAAAAACTAATGTATTTCCATGTGTGTGTGTGTTTGTGTCTCTCTCTTGCAGTTATCTCAATCGACCCATATATTGGGACGTGTTAAATCCGAACGTTTCCTATCATCTAAAGTGGATGAAGATCGTCGCCGCCGCACAATTATTGTCGAGAAGAAAAACGATTCCTTTGGCTTTACCCTGCAAAGTTATGGCATCCATTATAAGAAGGATCAGGAAGTGGAGATGATTACCTATGTCGACTATGTGGAGTATGATGGACCAGCCTATAAGGCCGGGATGCGTGAGGGTGATGTCATACTCTCGATTAATGGCCAAAATATGGAGAAGGCAGATCACAAGACCCTGGTGGATTTTATTAAAAGTTGTGATTCTCGGATGCGTATGGTGGTGCTGTTCGAGGATTGTGTGAGGAAGGTAAGTGCAGGTTGAAATATAAATTTCGAAATATTTTTTTAATATTTTATTGGTTTTCTTGGGGACCAGGTCAATTTACACATGCGTTATATCCAGCTACAAAATCTCCTCCAAAATAAAATGAATGAATTGGAACGCATCTGTGTCAGGGAACGTGAATTGTTGGAGGGCAAATGGAAAACCCATTCTCTGCCGGCTCGTAAAAAGGCCAACACGTCCACCGAACCGGGTGGCACGGAAACGGGAAATTCTCCTACAGACACAGAGATAAATCTACCCTATTATCGTCCGGCTTTGTCAACCGAAGATTTTAGTAATTTGGCTCGCCAAGCATCCCAGCAGACAATAATACCACCACCAGCTCAATATATGCTCTCCTATCAGTATTTCGATCCAACCTATCGTTATGTTCTGAAACCCTCCATATCGACCACCAGTAGTGGTGATTGTTTTGTGACAATAGGAGAGGCACCACTGAGTCGGGCCCAGTCAGGGGATACCACCACAGCTGGGGCTAGTTCGCAACATTTTACCAGCCAAAGGAGGGCAAGTGTTTCGCAGACCCCACCGGCGCCACCGCCCCGAACCTGTGAGAAACACAAACCACCAAATAAACAGCAGCAGCAACAATCTACACCTGCTAAACAGGACGGAGGAGCATCCGCTTCGGCGGCTGCGGGTTCCCAGAAATCCAGCAAGGCAGGTAAACATTGCCATGGACGTTCCTGTAATCCTTGTATAGATTTTCGTTGGAAATCCTCAGCCAAGACAGCGGCCCTGGCGGCCAGTGGTAATGGTGGCGGTGGTGGTGACAATGTTAGTTTGGATGCCTACGACTTGGCCAGTCCCTGTTGTGATACCCAGTGTGTTCCAACACGGCGCCATGTACGCCACCATCACAAGGAGCACACGCATAAACATAAGCATCGTGATCGTGAACGAGAAAGTGAGTCCAAAGAACGACCACCACGTCCCAAGTCACAGAGTCATGTTTCACCGGGACCCATCACGCGACAGCATCATCATCACCATCATCATGTGGCCCATGATCCGGTGCATCATCATCAGGCTGCTCAACATTATCAGTATTATGGAACAGGTCAGCAGCAGCAACAACAACAACATCACCAACAATCCATGTCCAGTCAACATCAGAAATCTGGTCATGGATGTGATTCGCATAGTGGTAGCATAAGGTCAAGGTATTTTGATCTAGCCTCCGGTCTGGCTAGTCACTGTAGTCTCCATTCGTGTACGTCCAGTGAATTTCAGCAACCGGATACGGCATCCTATACCACATCGATTAGTACGGATACTCTGTTCTATGATCCGAATAGTGAAAATCCTGGTATGGCATCAAGGCAGCATTCAACAAAATCCAGGCAATCGACATGTCAGCAACAACATCAGCAGCAGCAACAACAACAGCAGCATCAGCAACAACAACAACAGCAGCATCAACATCACCATCATCATTCTCAGCAGGGAGAACCCCAGGGTGGAGGTGGTACAAGTACCCATCATCACCACCATCATCATCAACAACAGCAGCAGCAACACCAACATCATCAACACCACCATCACCAACAGCAGCAGCAACAACAACAGCACCAGCAACATCAGGCCCAATATATGCATCACATGTACCAACAGCGTTACCATATCACCGCCACACAAATCCAACCGGCCCAAATATTCCCCAATACCGCCTATGTACACAAACCCAAGTCCTGGGATAATTTAACTGCTGCCAACCTGGGGGCCTATGGCTACGGTTATGGCTATCTGGACACGGTGGCCATGAAACCCATTGTCAATTTACAAATTGCCCAGCAGCGGCATTCCATACCTCGTAAAAATCCCTATGGGCGTTATTCGGCCTATACCGATGTGGAGAATTATGCTCCACCACCTACGGAATTCTTGGAGCAGGTGACCACCACTACCACCACAATAACTGCCAAATCAGCCGAAGATATTCTGGCCTCACCGGGTACGGGACCTTCATCTGCTGCCACCCTCACCGCCACCACTAATCCCTGTGAATGCATCAATTCGCAGCAGCACCAACAGGCCATCAAAATGGCTCAAATGCAAATCAATCAAGGACATGGCCATCACAACAGCTGTCAACTAGGCTACTATTCACATCTGCCACAACCGAAAACGGATGCGGCGACCTCAACGGCCGGATCACCACAAACAGCCAATGCTGCCACCGTAACGGAAGTGACACGTTTGTAGGTATCGCTTGTTTAGGTCAATCGCTGCAATTGGCCTAAATGAAGAGCCTGTCAATGGAAAACGGAAACGGAAATCTCAAGCAGCATATGCCAATCAACAATATCAATTGAAATTAAGTTGTTGTCATCTGAAAATGATCTCGAAAAATCTGTAGAGTAGCTCAAGGCTTTAAAACGTAGATAAGCAAAAATGAAAGGAAGAGAAGGGAAGATAGAAAGCAAATTCATAACCAAATGCCTCTTAGAATGAAAAGCCAAAATTATTATCATAGTCCAAAACAAAAAAAGGAAGTGTAACCGTCTCTCGCTCTATCACCATGACACATCGATATAGGTTAGGTTCATATATAACAAACTTTTTTAAAACATAATTATCCGAAATACAAACATACATACATATATCCCTATAATCATCGTAATCCCAATCCAGAAACTCAAAGTCTTGACAAACATTTGCCAAAAAATCGAAGACAAAACCAATACACATACCTAAATGTTTTACACTCATAGGCTAGTGGAAAAAAATCTCGAATATATATGTAAACATATGCACGAAACCTACATACACATATACAGTATACATACATACTTAATGCAATCTCCATTTATTTAAATTCCTAGGTAATTATCTCACGTGTCATAAATTCAAAAAAGTACTAATTTTAGTACATTTTCTAAATTATGGAATAGAATAGTACTAATGCGAAATGTGTAAAAGTTGTACTCTTTTCGCATTAGTACTGAGAGTACAAATTTTAGTAACTTTTGCACCTATTTTAAATTAAATTAAAAACTACCAGATTGGGTACAATTTGTATCGAAATGAGCAGAAAAGTAGGTAATCTTTCTAAAAGTGTACCACATTTATGAGAGTACTATTTTTGGTAACTTTTGTGCCATTTTTTAATACTACTATATTTGTTACTTTTATGAGAGTAATATTTAGAGTATCATTTTTACCCAACTACCTTCTTTCATGGTTTGACAGATTTTTTTACAAGCATCCTAACAATAAATCTACCACCAGCCCAATATATGTTTTCCTATCAATTTTTCGATCCAACCCTATCGTTATGGCCTGAAGTCCTTCATATCAACCACTAGTAGTGGTGATTTTTTTTTTTGGCAATAGATCGGGCACCACTGCGCCGGGTGATACCACCACCGCTGGAGCCAGATCGCACCATTTTACCAGTCAAGATTTTCGCAAAAAAAAGCTACACCACCATAAACAGAAGTCTTGTAAGACTGGGGCGTGTTGGCCTCCAATTTTCGGCCTGTAATCCTTGCATAGATTTTTGTTGGAAATCTTCAGTCAAGACGGGCAACTGTCGAAGCTCTTTTCATCGGGTGTCAAGTTAAGGCTGTAAAGGGCTGATTGTTTTGTGACAATAAGTGAGGACCCACAGAAGTCTGGTACACATGTGGGAATCGACCTCAAAAATTCAGCAAGTCAGTTAAACATTTATATGGACTTTCCTGTAATCATAGCATAGATTTATATTGGAAATCTTCAGTCAAGACCGCCAACTGCCGAATTGTCATCGAGTGTCAATTTAGGGATTTCAAGCGCTGTGGTGATTGTTTTGTGACAACAGATCAATCTCCAGGGAGTCGGGTGATACCAGCCCTCCATATCAACCACTAGTTGTGGTGATTGTTTTGTGACAACAGGTTAAGCCGAATTGTCCACCACCGCTCGAGTCAAGTTTTCGCAAAAAAAAAAAAAAATACACCACCATAAACAGAAGTCTTGTACAACTGGGGGTGTTGGCCTCCAATCCTCGGCCTGTAATCCTTGCATAGATTTTTGTGATTGTTTTGTGTCAAGTTAAGGCTGTAAAGGGCTGATTGTTTTGTGACAATAAGTGAGGACCCACAAAAGTCTGGTACACATGTGGGAATCGACCTCAAAAATTCAGCAAGCCAGTTAAACATTTATAAGGACGTTCCTGTAATCCTAGCATAGATTTTTGTTGGAAATCTTCAGTCAAGACTGACAACTGCCGAATTGTCATGGAGAGTCAAGTTAGGACTTTGAAGCCCTCCATATTAACCACTAAAGTGGTGATGTTTTTGTGACAATAGGTTAGGCATCAATGAGTCGGGTGATATCTATATCTCCATAAAAGTAAGTCTAGTACAACTGAGGGAGTTGGCATCAAAAATTCCGCAAGTCAGTTAAACGTTTATATGTACGTTCCCGTAATCCTTGTATAGATTTTGTTTGAAATCCTCCGTTAAGACGACCAGCTGTCAAATTTTCATCGGGTGTCAAGTTAGGACTTTCAAGGGCTGTTTCTTGTTGTGAGGTCCCATTGATGCCGATCTGAAACACATTATAAAACATTATTAAACGCTGGTACAGCAAATGGAGTGGGCCTCAAATATTGACGATGATAGGTAAACATCTAGCTTATTTTTTAGGCACTTGAAAACAATATTCGTTAATGCGGTTTTGGTTGAAAAAATATTTTTTTTTCAACATCCACACCTTTTTTGTTGTTTGACAAAATATATTCTTAAAAAAAGCCATGACCTGTTTTAGGTCTTTGAAAAATATTTTCTTTAAAAATCTACGTCTTTTCCAGGTTCTTCAAACGAATTGTTATGCTCTTGCAAAATATTCTTTAGCATTTTGAGCATTTTTGTGCTCTTGCAATATATATTGTAAAAAATCCAGGCCACTTTTAGGACACAATCATATTAGGCTTTGAAAAAATATTCTTTAAAAATCCACGTCTCATATTAGGCCTTGAAAAAATAGTCTTTAAACCAGTGAGCGGAGCAGTATATACGGACGGGCCTACCATACGATACCCTACACAACTACCACGAAACTGTAACTTTCTGCGGATGTTTATTCCAAGCCTGGACAATATTTCGTGATAGCCTACACCCTGTTGACCGATTAGAGGCCAACAGCACCTCTTCCTTACACTGACATATTTTCTGTACAGTCTTTCTAATTACTTGTCCAGATTCCCCTCACCGTGGATTGTGTTGTGATGTTCGGCTTCAAGTTGTGGCCTCGAAAAACACAAAAAATTAAGTTTATTATCTGATCATCGCCGAAAATTATAGGCGTTGTCCTTGACCATAACTGGAATCTCATGGAACATTTCAAAGCGATCATCGCTATATTACCGCTCTCCAGTGTGGTAATTGGTTACTAAATAATATCTGAATACGCACCAGTAAATATTTAAGTGTAACTCGCACATCCGAGTACATACGACAATATAATTGATATCAATTTAAAGGTCAACCACTCCTCTTGGATAGACTATCAACTTGGGGTCTATGTCCTTCAAGAGTAAAGATATATGCCATAGAATACACATTTTGTATTTTTTTCAAACAAAAGTCAGGGTCCATTTGACCCGCTAAATATTGACTGATCTTTATCAAAACAGGCGTGATTATTCTTTGACCAATCAGGTTTTCCATATAAAAATTCGAGCTGTTTGGGCCATAATTGCGGCCTCTGGAGCGACCAGAAAATCAGACACAAATAACGTTTCCGGTCCATTTCAATAGGGGTTTTCATTGGCCAGAACCCATCCTACATGCAAAATTTCGTGAAGATTGGTCCATAACTGTTGCCTATATCGTGTTTACAAATTATAATGGACAGGCGGACGGACGGGGGCTTGGGGCTGCACAAAGCTATAATACCCTGACAACAAAGTTGTGTATGGTATAAAAACAATGTCTTTTCCAGGTTCTTAAAACAAAATATTCAAAAATTGTTTCTTTAAAGGATTTGCAAATTGTTAGGCTTTTGCAAAGTATTCTTAAAAAATTCACGAATTTTTAGGATCTCTTAGGCAATTACACTATTATTTTGGTCCTAGAAAAAAATACTCATATTAGGCACTGAAAAAAATATTCTTTAAAAAATCCACGACTCATATTAGGCCTTGAAAAAATATTCTTTAAGGGAACCCCAGCCATTCTCGATTTTAATTTTTCAAGATTTTCAATGGGCTGGTAAATGTATACCAATGCTTGTTAAGGTTTGCAACTTTGCACATATATATTTGAAGATATAAAAGAGAAGAAAAATAATTTACAAAAAATGTTTGTTATTGTTTTGTTGTTGTTTTTTGTGATCAAAGAAAAGTCCTTATTTTTGATGGCGGACATGATAACTCCTTACTGGAACATCGGAATCCGAAAATTCCAACGGTGTTAGAAAGAGTACATGTCTCGCTCTCGTATGAACTAGGATTATTGACTTCGCACAACAATTAACAAAATGGCGGAACTTTTATTTTGATTTTTTTTTTTTTTTTTTGAAAATCGCCTATTTTTTACCACAAACTAAGTTCAAAAATAAGGAAGTTCTTCACCGATTGGCTTTATCCTAGTTTATACGATAGCTATACACTCACAGAGAAACGTGTAAAAATTTGGAATCGATTGGGTTATTAGTTTTTAAGTTATCGTGCCCGCCATTCATAGCGTTTAAAGTTTGAGAAGCCCTTTAGCCGTCACTTGATGCTGACACAATAAATCGGCTATATTTTCAAGAGTTCTTGAGATTTTCACTTGAAATTTTGTGGGGACATTCTTGAATTAGTGTAGATTCGAATTAAAACAACAAAAATTTTTGACCCCGAGAATGGGGGGGTCCCCTCAAAAGATCTAAAAATTTTTAGGCTGTTGCAACATATATTCTAAAAAATCAACGCCTTTTTTAGGACCCCGTCAAACAAGCCCACAATTGTTTCGGTCCTAGAAAAAATATTCAATAAAAATCCAAGATTTTTCTTGACAATTTTTTCACTTTCCTTTCCTCGAAAAAATATTCCGTTAAAAATCCAGGCCTATTTTGGAACATTGACATTGGACATTGGAACATTGACCCCTGATTCCAAGCAATGGTTAGCAAAACGTGTTTAGTAAATTTCAATCCCTAACTATCGTCTTAACCTGGATCCAATTCAATCCATTTAAATTGATATTATCTAAATTATAATAGTATTGTGTTAAACT